AAAAAAAAAAAGATTAAGTATATGATTTGGAGACAACTTTATTCTGATATAATGATTTTGTTTATATTGTTATGTGTTGTTTTTATGATTTTCAATGATTTTGTGTGTTCATGTTTATGGAAATCTTAAATTTGGTCTAGGTTTCATGAAAAGTTAAAAAAAACAACAAAGGGTTAAGTATATGAGTTGAAGATAAGTTAATTCATAAATGGGTAAAGTTTAAGAATATGGTTTAAACCCAAGTTAAAAAGGCTAAGTTCAAGAATTTGGTTTAAAATCGAATTAGTAAATACCAAACCAATAATTTTAATCACCAAACCAAAAAATTAATGTAAAATTGGTGCAATTTTCAGTAATAGATATAGGAAAACAAAATATTGGTTAATATTTTGGTTTTAGTTCAAACTAAACAAACCAATGTCCAATCCTACTAAGAAAAAGGCAGTTGGATTCTAATTCCGAAATAGCAATGTGATTATGCAATTAGGGGGAGGGAAATTGTTTTTCATGGATCATTTGTGTATATGGGTTAAATACCCTTTGTACTCTTTATAATAATATAGTTTTTTTGTTGTTCAAAAAATGAGAGAGAGAGAGAGGGAGAGAGAGAGAGAGGGAGAGAGAGAGAGAGAGAGAGAGAGAGAGAGAGAGAGAAATTCACCCTCCAACTAAATACCCTAAAATAGGACATTAAAAAAAAAAAAAAAAGCAAGAAGGAGAGAGAGAGAGAGAAGGTAATCACAAATTGACTGAAGCAGCGATTTGTTATTGAATGAGACGAACATATAGTTAAGCCAGATGGTATGGCTAAACAAGTAGTATGTTACAGTGCAGCAAATTCCTAAGCATGAGAACGTCTTAGATTCAGTGTTTTCGTACAAAGATACAAACAAATAAACTATGTCAATCTAGTTCCCATCACCCTGTAATGCTATGTTTACACCAGAATTCAACATTTTATGCCCGGTGAAGGAAACTAACGTAACATAATTAATAATTAAAATGTCATTACCAAACAATCACCAATTGAACTTCGAAACGATCGAATCATTTAAAGCAGCATTACTTGACTTGAAGGATCTCCAAGGTATTGCAACCACTTTTTAGTATGGCCTATACCTCCAGTCTGCTCTGGATGGTCTCATACTGCCAATTCCATAACCCCACTGCCAAACAGAAAATCAATTTAAAGGAAACCAGAACCCATCAGACGAGATTGTACAAATCTCTGCTACTGGAAAACAAATTTTTACTAGTCTGACAATGGAAACAACTAGCAAGTACATTATCATTTACATTTGACCCTGCACCTAATGTAAGCATTATGGTCATACTTCTTCCAAAGTACAATCATAGGAGAACTAGAGACATATATACTCACATCATCAAAATCCAGGCTTCCATACATCCTGCCATAGGTTCGCATAGGACCACCATAACCCCCAAAGGATTCCGCACTACTCATCATGAAATTCCCACTGGGGCCAGCATCATCAAGTGGTGTTGCAGAATCTATTGCCACCTATGTAACCAGTTGATAGGAAAAAAAAAAAGGTTTATACCCTGTGAAGTACTTTCTAATTGGAATTCATGCAAAGTAGAAATTAAAAAAAAAAAAAGAAGCCTATCATGAGATAAATGCTCATTCAAGGGACTGCAGTAGAGGCTCACCCATCGATGTAAGCCCTTCCAAATTTATTTTTAAAGGGTTAAGAGTTAAGACTGCAAAAAAACTTGAACGCTTTAGCTTGCATTATTTATCTTAGATCTTTGTTCTTAAATGGCATCGATCATTTATTCCCTCCCTCTATCTCAAGTCTACATATTTTCTCTAAAAGCACATGTCATAATAAACATTTCTCAGTTCTAAACATTGTTATCCTGTTCTGTTTCTTAGTTGGTGCTTTTAACCAATGTAGCATACACAGTCCATCATGACTTCATTGCATATCGAGCATCCAGAATCAATTCAATAAACTGAAGTAGAGAGCAAAAGATTACCATGACCAGAAATGAAGCTCCAATAACTGACACAACCACAGTAAATCATTTTCTAGTATCCAATAGCCATTGCTCAATCAAATGATTCAAATCAATATGCTAGTCACCAAAGCAAGTAGGAAACACACAAAACATCTACTTGTTCACCAATACACATCAAAAATGGGTTTCAACATCTTAACTCAGAAGTTCACAATGAGAGAATGGAACATTACCCCTAAACAGAACATACAATGACAAACAAAATACACAATACCAGAGGCAAGAAGAGAAAATTTTCCATCACTACCTGCTGTCCACAGATCTCATGTGATCTACGAGATACACGGTCTGCTACACCATCTTCAGCAAAGGTGACAAAACCAAACCCCCTGTGACCAGTTCTCTTAGGGTCCTAAAATGAGCATCCAGACCATAAGCTTAATCCAATCAAATGCTGAATTGAACATTGGCAATTATTTCTATCTTACCTTAGGAATATAAACATCTAATATTCGTCCAAATCTACCAAAGTACTGACGAAGATCATCAGTGGTGGCCTCCTGAGGGAGCCTGCCAACAAAGATCTTTTTGCCCATCCCCCGACTGGGTTCCCCTCCTGATCCAACCAAAAAATTTTATAAATGCACGAATAATAATCCAGGAAACCAAAAGATGAGTATGCTTGAAGGATAACTTACTTCCATACAATGGACCTGGATGATCATATAAAGTAGGAGCACCTAGAGCTGCATATCTAGTAGCAGCAGACATATAAGCATTGTAAGCTCCATATCCAACCTGTGCCATTCTGCCTATTGGCCTAAAGTCATCTTCCTGAATATTTACTTTCATATTAGTGAAATTAACCTCATATATATTGAATTTATTTGTGAAATAGCAATACAAAGAAAAATTTTGAAGTTAAATGACACATTCTTCCAACCTGAACAGATTAAATTGGAATCTTAAGGAGATAACTTTCTCCATTATTTAATTAAGTTAAAAAAACAAAAAACCAAAAACAAAAAGGATCCAGTTGTGCAACTTACCTTAGGTGTTGCCCGATCAACAACTACCGCAGAACCTCCCAGTTCATGAGTATCAGCCATCAGATTTTCTACAGATTCTGCAACACAGAGAACAGTCAAAGGAATCAACCTCTTTTCCCTATTAAAAAAAGGTAGAAGGGGGGAATGGGGACACTAACAGATAACCATATTTCAAATAAGTAATATACATTTCCCACTAATGCAGAAAAATAACTGAAAAATATCAAATTAGTTGCAAGATGATCTCACCTGCACTTGCAAAAGTGATAAACCCAATTCCACGATGAGCTTTTGAAGCTTGATCCTGTAAAAGACATAAAAGAACAATCATATCACAAAGCATTCCCAACAGAGGGGTTAATCAAATTTGTGCATGCGTGCATTAGATATTATTTAGCCATACAAGCACCAAGGAAATTCTTACAATTTCATTTAACAATTTATGCTTGAGCTATTTACTCGTAACACAGTCACATGCATATTGGCAGGCACGTGTGTGCGCATGCACACACACACACACACATAAAGAAAGAGTACCTTTGGCATGTACAGATCTGTTATATCACCATACTTCTCGAAATGACTGGGATAATACAATCAACAAGCAATTTGTTACTTTCTAAACATAAGTGAAAAATCAAGCTCAAGGTGTAAGAACTAAAACACCAGTCCAATTTATGTCATGCACTCAATTACCTTCGGAAGGTTGATTCAGTTACAGATGGAGGAATCCTGGCCACGAATATCCTAGTTACTCTCTTTACAGGTGCTCTCATCTCCTCCTGCCAAATGTTGTAAATATTAAGGTTTTTATGGTGAACATGTGAACTACACTTCACACTAATTAAAACATTCATGAGGAAATTCCAGCAAAATGAGAATCAATCAAGGTTAATGTAACCAAACCTTTGGTGTGGCTATTTTTACTTCCAGCATCCTGTTGCCAAGGAAGTGCTCACTTGATAATGCATTCTGTCAGGCATGATATTATTAAGCATTTTGAACAGAAAAAAGACATGTAGAATCATAGGCTTAAATATGACACAATATGCAGCAGGGAGTAGAATTTGAATACCAAAAATTACAGATTGCAGTTACCTCAGCGTCATCAGCTGATGCAAATGTTACATATCCAAAACCACGAGATCTTCCTGTAGACCTCTCCTAAATGATGGAAATGGAGACAAATAATTGATAAAAATATAGAGAATGAAAGTATCAAGTAAAAATTATGTGCATGTCCATAGTCAAGCCTCAGATAGGATGGTCTCGCAAGGGTGCTCCATCCAAATGAAGATTGAAGAGGATTCCTGATTCCCCATTGCCCATTCACCTTCCCCTCCCCAAACAATTACTCTATTTAAAAGGAAAAGAAAACTTGATGTGTATCCCAGTTGAAAAACCAACATGCTCTAAATATACCGTTATTTTCATGTTCACTGAATGCACCAGTACACCTTATCTGTGCCTATCTCATAACCAGCAACATCCAATCAGAGCAATAACTGATTAACAAACAAAATCTTCGTCCACCTTCACACCTAAGATGCTTAACTTGACATCTAGATGCTGGCAGCAGAGACTCATCTAACCCTTGGGTGCTAGACAATTCTAAGTTTCTAACACATGCCATCTTGTCATCTCCACATCTTTCTATAAAGCATGCACTAAAGTTATTTTCAAAAATAACAAAGAAGAAAAATCTAATTAAATGTAAATGGCCAATGTATATGCATTAGCTGTTCAGCCATGCATTAAAATGATAAACTTCATCAAAAGTCGAAACCTGAAGTAGTTCTAACTTCTATTCTCAAAACTAAAGAGCAAAAAACATTTTTTTTATAAAAAAAAAAACAAATTAACAGGAGATGAGATCAATGTCTTGTACTTGCAAATAAATTGAAAGGAAAACTAAAAAAGGCACCTTCATAACAATGCAATCCTCCAAGTCCCCGAATTTGCTCATGTATTCTCTCAGACCGTCCGTATCCACATCCCAAGGAATACCCAATACCTACAATTTAACCATAAAAATGACAAAAAGAGTCCCTTTTTATACTTCAAAAGTACTCATTGAAAGAAATTGCAAGAGCTAAAAAAAAAAAAAGAGGAAAGAAGAATTACTAACCACAAGCTTTCGCTCCATGATAATATAGGGGAACCGGCGCCTAAAATTGAAATCGTAGCGAAAACCCTAACACACTCAAAAAAGCTCTCGAGAGTTCTCACAAATCCTCTCTCTATAAATCTCTCACACTCGTCTCCTGCACACAATAATAAGGACATCTCTTTCTCACACAACATCATCATCAGCATCATCATCATCACCAAGAATCAAATCAAACTCAACATTTCCTCCATTAAACTCAACAAATGGGAACAGAAAATTTAGCTGCTATAATTGTAATCGTAATTGAAAAAAAAAAGAAGAAGAAGAAGAAATAAAAAAAAAAAAAATTGTGTTTGCAATCATGCACTCACTGACCTGACCGATTTCTCAAAACCCTAAATTGCAGAGGAACTCTCTCCTTCCCCCTCTCCCCCTATCGCTCAAGCTCGCTCGCTCGCCCGCTCGTGCCGCTCTTATTTGTCTCCTTCTCCCCTGGTTTTATGTTCTCTCCCAAAAAGAAAACAAAAGAAAAAGGAAAAGATAAAGAGGTATTATTAATTAATGAAACTGAAATAGCTGCTGCCCTTTTTAACCTGCGGGGACTCCAGCAGAATTCGGGTAATAGAAGGATCATCCTGCCCCTCCTTTAACCTCCTAACACGTGTATTATTTATTTTATATATATATATATATTTCTTTTTTTTTTTTTCTTTTTTCATTCCCAACAATGAGGATTTTTTTTTTAAATATTACATGATTGTCTTATTTTGTAATTTAAATTACCATATAATTATCTATATTAAGAAATTTATTTTTATGTAATGATTTATATTGCTCAATATAATACAATGTAAATTAAATAGGGGTGGTGTTATTGGGATAATTTTTTTATCTTATCTTTTTATACAACTTTCACATGTTATTAAATGAGTAAATGCATTTAATATCACAAATCACATAACTAATCATTTTAATAATACGTTAAGTTGTACAAAAATGTGAGATGAAAATGTTGTACAAAAAATATTTTGCATTAAATAATAATAAATAAATTTTAAATTTAAAACAAAAATTTGATGTTGTGATAGTGACATGATATATATTATATTATTAAAAATATTAAAAAAATAAATCTTTTATTATTCAATAGTTATTTTTTATTTTTTAAAAACTTTTAATATTGTATATATCAATTAATTTAAGATATAGCATAAATCATATTATTTATCCTAAATTTTCATCCTTCTATTATTACTCATATAAATTAGGGGTGAATATTCAGTATAAGTAGACTTATTATTTATAAGTATTTTATTTATTTAGATAAATACTATTTCTAAATAATAAAAAAATGTGTAAATAATGAGTATAAAAATAATATACTTCTAAATATTAAGTTAAATAATAAATATAAAAATTTAGCACTATTTACTTAACATATTTAACTTATTTATTTAAAAAATATATTACATATACTTGTATAATTAAAATTTTATATATATTTATTATACTTAATATTTATATAATAATATTATTATTTTAAAAAAATAAAAATAATAAAATTCAAGAAAAAGGAAATAAAAATTTAGCAAAGCTGATTAGCAAAATAAATTACACATGTAGTAGTAACAACTTGAATAAATAATCAACTCTAATGATGAAATTTCTTGAATAAAACTTTAAATCAAAGATATAACACATATAACAATAACATCTTAAATTAGACATTTTCTTTCCTTAAATTAAGGGCTCATTTAATATAGTGGTTTAAAAGTAAGAGTTAGCAATTTTACTCAAATCGCTATGAATTGATGCTTAATAAATTTATTTATTTCAAAACTGTTATAATTTTGTTATTTGGTAAAAATTGTTATTTAATGGTTTGGAATTAATAGATAG